TCAATGACTCTTTAATGGCCCATATCCTAGTTAGTGTAGATCATGTTAAATACCACATACATTTCTCAGTCCTCAGGATGTAGTTTCAATGACTCTTTAATGGCCCATATCCTAGTTAGTGTAGATCATGTTAAATACCACATACATTTCTCAGTCCTCAGGATGTAGTTTCAATGACTCTTTAATGGCCCATAACCTAGTTAGTGTAGATCATGTTAAATACCACATACATTTCTCAGTCCTCAGGATGTAGTTTCAATGACTCTTTAATGGCCCATAACCTAGTTAGTGTAGATCATGTTAAATACCATATAAATTTCTCAGTCCCAGAGATGTAGTTTCATTGACTCTTTAATGGCCCATATCCTAGTTAGTGTAGATCATGTTAAATACCATGATGTGAAATATTTTTCTTGCAGCAAACCTGATTCATGTTACAACTTACGTACACATGATATAGACATGAGCAACGATTGAGTACATTTCTATTGAGACGGACATGTTGAGGTAAAATAAGAATACTTAATGTGTAGCTCTGATTTTAGTGCGAATATTAAGTTTGCTATGAACTTGACGGTGGTACATACTTATGAAGCGTGTGTTTGTTTTAAATACATATTACTAGATGTTTGTTTGTTTTGAATTTCGCGCAAAGCTACATGAGGGCTATCTGCGCTAGCCGTCCCTAATTTAGCAGTGTAAGACTAGAGGGAATGCGGCTAGTCATCACCACCCAACGCCAACTCTTGGGCTACTCTTTTACCAACGAATAGTGGGATTAACCGTCACATTATAATCCCCCACGGCTGCGAGGGCGAGCATGTTTGGTGAGACGGGGATTCGAACCCGCGACCCTCAGATTGCTAGTCGAGTGCCCTAACCACCTGGCTATTACTAGATGCTGTCGTCATCATGGTCAGTAACCTAAATCTCATTGTTAATAATAGTAACTGTGTAACTAGGTGCTACTTACCAACTTGACGTTGGTACATACTTATGAAGCGTGTGTTTATGTGTATTTATTTTAACGCAAAGCCACATTGGGCTATATGCTGTGTCCACCGCGAGAATCGAACCTCGGATTTTTGTACAACGATGCAGTATACAAACTTTTAAATACGTATTACTAGATGCTGTCGTCATCATGGTCAGTAACCTAAGTCTCATTATTAATAATAGTAACTGTGTAACTAGGTACTACTTACCAACTACTTTTTACTCTGCGTTTCGATTATTAATCTGCTGACTTATTCAGAGAAGTCTTGATAAGGACTTTTTTCTGTGTTGGAGATGGCCGAGATTCCATCCTGGTTCTTTAGAGCTTCAACGAACTAGCCACATGTTTTCAAGGTGGGTATCCAGATTTTCCTGACTTATATGCTAGGTGGATATAGAAGACATCTTTTGTTTCGATTTTCCTCATTTGTGATTTGTACCCTATTAATTAAGTCAGTAATATGCAAAGGACATTTAAAGGGCACATTTCAAGCAATGCAAGGCAAGATTTTTTTTTTTTGGAGGGGGTGTATGTGTTAGGGGAGACTACCTCATTTGTGATTTATATTCTATTAATTAAGTCAGTAATATTCAAAGGACATTTAAAGGCCACATTTCAAGCAATGCAAGGCAAGACTTTTTTTTTTTGGAGGGGTGTATGTGTTAGGGGAGACCACCTCATTTGTGATTTATATCCTATTAATTAAGTCAGTAATATGCAAAGGACATTTAAAGGGCACATTTCAAGCAATGCAACGCAAGACTTTTTTTGGAGGGGTGTATGTGTTAGGGGAGACTATGGAGAGTGTGGATTGCCTCTGGTACACATAAGGTAGAAAGCCTCGGGAAGCAAACGGATACTTCTTTACTCATATTCAATCGGTCTTGTAAAAACTTTTAAAATTAAAACTTAATAACAATTCACAATTATTATTACTTCTTTACTGTAAAGACCTACAAGTTTCATTGATTTTAGAACTGAAATTTATGTTCCTAATGATTCGCGGAAGCAAGGTGTGGAACTGGGCTTGTCCTTTAGTAATTGTGGACAACTTTCTTTATGACTGAGAAACAGAGTACTTTTGGGGCATAAGAGCAGAAAGGCCCGGCATGGCCAGGTGGTTAGGGCGCTCGACTCGCAATCTGAGGGTCGCGGGTTCGAGTCCCCGTCACACCAAACATGCTCGCACTTTCGGCCGTGGGGACGTTATAATGTGATGGTCAATCCCACTATTCGTTGGTAAAAGAGTAGCCCAAGAGTTGGC